TACTTTCATGTCCATTGATGACCAGTAGTTAGGAACCACTATGTTATAGCAGGCACTTGTATATATATATATATACTTTCATATCCATTGATGACCAGTAGTTAGGAACCACTATGTTATAGCAGGCACTTGTATATATATATACTTTCATATCCATTAATGACCAGTAGCTTGGAACCACTATATTACAGCAGGCATGTATACATACTTTCATGTCCATTAATGACCAGTAGTTAGGAACCACTATGTTATAGCAGGCATGTATATATATACTTTCATATCCATTGATGACCAGTAGCTGGGAGCCACTATGTTACAGCAGGCATCTACATATATACTTTCATATCCATAGATGACCAGTAGTTGGGAACCACTATGTTACAGCAGGCATGTATACATACTTTCATATCCATTAATGACCAGTAGTTAGGAACCACTATGTTATAGCAGGCATATGTATATATATATATATACTTTCATATTCATTGATGACCAGTAGTTGGGGAACCACTATGTTATAGCAGGCATGTGTATATATATATACTTTCATATTCATTGATAACCAGTAGTTGGGGAATCACTATGTAACAGCAGGCATGTATATATATATTTTCATGTCCGTGGATGACCAGCAGTGTTGCAGGATGCATGTACGTATACTTTCATATCAACAGATGACCAGCAGTCAGGAATCATTGTGTTACAGCATGCATATATATATATACATTTTCATATCCATGGAGTTGTGAACCATTATGTTACAGTATACATAGATGTATACTTTCGTGTCGATGGATGACCAGCAGTTGAAAACCCTTGTGTTATAGCATGGCTGTATATATATATATACTTTCAAGCTTTGATTTGTATAATCAATTTCTCACAGAATAATTAATTAGTTTGCTTGCAGACATTTGATACATAACTGCAGCACTCTTGAAGACTTTATTAATACTTCTGATTATTTGTTTTATGTATTTTTTGCAGCTGGCTTAATTGAAAACATACATACTGTTACGCTTCCAGTCGTTAGTTGATTTCCCGTAATTTCGTTCCGACAAAACTTTAGTGACGCAAGTCCTTACTTAATAAAACTGATTGTCCCGTCACGTTGTGAGCATCTTATATATATATATACCAGACTAACATATATCTAGTAAATGCTAGGGCATTCACGAAGGAACGAGATAGTTCTAGAAACGGGTGGCGTGACAATAGTCACGTGACCTCGCTGACGCAACACTGCCTCCTCCTTAGCATTGTTCGTCCCGAACAATAGCCACATACAATAAACCAATAACAATTAACAATAACTTAATTAAATGTACAGAATTACAATCACAAAATTACAATTCAACAAAGTCTCTTAATTTTACGGGACGTATCTTCTTCCATACTGGTCTCCGTCTCATTGGCTTCTGCTTCACGTGGAGTTCATCTGCATCATCAGTAAAAGTCTTATCGTCGATGACAGTCACACCAGTGGTAGTAACTTCATCAAAAGCTTCACCGTTTCCCTTCTCAAAACTGAGTAGAGTTTCTTCTTCGACGGTGGCTTCTTTAGGTGGCACGTCTTCAGCAGCGTCTTTTGTTCTGTTGTCCACTTCATCCCAACTGAAATGTCCTGGACCGTGATAACGCCAAAGCCTGTTGGCATGCACCACTTTTGGCTTACGTCGCCGCCCACATTTTACCCGGAAAGTCACGTCTGAGAGACGATCCACAATGTCATATGGGCCTTTCCATGGAGAAGACAACTTAGGAGACTTCCCTTTGGTCTTCCTGGGATTATACAACCATACCTTGTCTCCTGGTACAAAGCTGACTTCAGTAGATCTCTTATAATAAGTTAACTTCATCGAATCAGCAGACGTTTTCAAGTTTGAATGCACTTGATGGTGGATATCATCCATCCTTTCCGATAACACTTTAACAAACTCTGACACATTCTCAGGCAACTCTTCATAAGGTGG